ACACAGAGGTGACTCTGACTTGCCTGTATTTCCCTAGTCTTCCCTTTTTTCCCCCTTTTCTGGTTATTCGTTATGTTTCCCCTTCTTTCTTTTACCACGGATGTACCTCTAGAAGCTTGTGTTTGTGCAATATGTAAATATACAAAGGTTAAATACATAAGTGAAAAAAAGGAACCTAATTTCTACACTCTGCAAAGAGTATATGAAACAATAACCAGAAACCCACAAGGAAAAGTTCCTTGCAGGAAGGAAAGGCTAAGACTAGAGAAAGCTCTGGATTCAGGTGCCACACCTAAAACCACTATTGCAGACTGGTGTTACAGGTTCACAATGCAAACTTAATTGCATAAAGCAAAAGTATTTGACAAAAAAAAAAAAAACAAACAAACAACAAAACCAAACAAACTAGAAACAGAGAATGTAATCCATGCTCAGGGCACAGCCAGACCTTCAGGTTAAGGGTGCTTGATTTTCTGATATCAAGCACGCTTAATTAAGCATAAGCCAGGATATAGATCATTCAGTCAAAGCAAAAGTCTCATTTAGTGAAGAAACAAAGAAACTTCCTGAGTCAAAATTATGACCTATAAAAGTACAAGAATTCAGTCAGAAGCACACTCCTGAGAGCTGAGTATCAATTACTTAGCCTTTGTTTCAGATCTATCAAAGCCTACTTCAGAGATGTAAATCTCTGGTGGACTCAGAGCCTGACAACTAGCATCATCAGGCCACCTAGAAATTCTACTGCAATAAGACCAAATGAAAAACCTTCTCTTACGTGATGACACCAGTGTTTCTGTGCTACCCTCCCATAGGCTAGCACTTCTGCTGTACCACTTTGTTTTAAACTTAGTTGGCTAAGAAGGGCAGTTAATTTCAGACTCAAAAACTGCACACTGAGGTATGTTTTAAGAAGGTACTTGAGCTCTTAAAACAGTCAGTGAAATGCATTAGGAAGCATTTCTAATTATACAGTTCTATCATATCAGTTGCTGTTTCTTCAGCTGTTTATGTAAGAGGTTTAATGAAATTGACATATAATCTAGAAATAATTATTCCCATATGTGTTTCAACCTTTCCACCATAATATTTTCTGTGTGTCTGCTTTGGTTTCAAAGGAATCAGGGCCTCTGTGATCATGCTGTGGGCATTTGCATGTGCCTCTGCTATTCCCTAAAAAGTCTGAAGTCATTAGCTAACTGCCCAAAGACTAAACTTATTACAAGTATATTGAAGATCAGCAACCAAGCACAGGGGAAACTGAGGGGAAAACAGCACTGTAAAACAATCTCTATAAGATATCAAATCTTCATGCAAGAGCAATATTTTTAACAACGTAAGTGTTGGAAAAAATCTCCATTAGATTTCACAACTTATCAACAAAAAAGTCTACCAACAACGTATTAACCCAAGGGAAGTAGATTTTACTGTTTCTGTTATTTCCATAAATAATTGCTCATGCAGATGCTGGGTAACTTCCTTGCTTTTCTTTACTTCTCTGGGTTTCAGCATCACTAGTGTTAAGGACAGAAACAGACAATGCTATCCACTGAAAAAACATTTACTATTAAAAAAAGTATTAACTTCTGATTCAGATAAGAAAAAAAGCTTATAACTGAAGCTATAGTGACAATATAAATATTCTATACAAATAACTAATGTGTTCTTTCCTTGCAGGATGCACCATATTCCACCCTGCATTTAAGTTTTCACTGAAAACACTCATATTAACATGGTCCAGTTTTGGACTTTATAACATGAGAGTCAAAAAGAAGAAAAGTCTGAGAGAATATACTAAGCTCTAAGAATAACAGATGTACTACATGTGAAACACCAATGTGAACTACTATTGTGTATAAGACTCAGGTTTTCAAGATCCAGAGAATTAACTTCCTAAAGAAGAACACAGTTCTCGAAGTGGATCTAACAATTCACACCAATAATATGTTAAAATCCCTTAAAAATCCATAGCCATAGGAATTAATTTTCTAGTGCCAGTGTAAGTTCAAAAATCTGACTCTTTTCTTGAGGTATCTAACAAAGAATCTTAGTGCTTCAAAGTTAGTGCTCAACTCCATTGTGCTGATATATAAAAAAAATATTTAAAATCGGATACCTAGATTAGTTTTCTCTTCATCTCTCAGAAAATCATGGGCATGTAAGCATGGTAAGTCAAACCCCATGATGCTGCCCGCATGTAATTAATCAGTGTGACTTAAGCAGGGTCAGCATCTGGCTGCTTTTAATTTAAAATGCTTTATGGGAGAGAGAGGAGTTGACAGCTGATTTGTTCATGTCAGATTTGAAAGCCTGAAACTAGGCAGCACCTCTAAAAAACCCTTCCTTTTCCATGCCATTCATGCTCACATTTACTGTGAGGTAAGCATTTTTTTTTTTTAATTTTAAGATTTTCACTAGAAATCACTGGTCTGTCAGAAAACAGCTTTATTCATTGAAAATAATTGGTTTCGATGAACTCTCAGTGAAACCCTGCAGAGATAATGAAGGAAGATGACTTCCAAGGTGTGGACTAGTTCTAAAAAGCAAATCATCTCAAAGTCAAAGGATGTTTAGTTTTCCTAGATCCACAAATGCTAAGTCTCACTTCCACACAATAATGTGCATGCAAAACAGCAGCTTGAGGATTTTACTTGTTTTGCTTCTTCTCGATTTCTTTTTGTAGTAAATGTCAGAATTTCTACTTTTGCTTCTGGGATAGAAATTAGAAGCTTGGAGGAATGAGTGCAACAGAAATGTGGCAAACACCTCTACTTTTGATAGCTTCAAGGTCAAGCACTCAGCTTTTGGCTTTCTTCAGACTGTACAGAACTAGGAAGTACTCATCTTCTGCTACTCTTCTTCTGCTGGTGAGAAAATTTGTCTCTTTCTTGAGGGCAGTAAATGCTAACCTCTATCAATAAAAGCTGTCACTGGCCTACCAAAACAGAGCCACTCTCATCTCATATTCTCCTCAGTGTTGTCTGTCTAATTAGACTGAAGCAATTTCAGCCAGGGGTAGTATGCTCTGTATACCACTCAACATCTTGTCTGTCAAGAAAACATAAAATCCTATGCAGGTGCTTAAGTTTAAGTGTCCAAATAACCTCATATTTTCAGAGTTTCTGACACTGAGGCTTCTGTTTAGGATGAAATCAGCACTTACTGTATATTAAAAATAGCTCAGCTACAACAGTGTCTGATCTTGTGGTAATGATACACTCTTTGAAAAATGTGTGAAAATATTTAGAGGGGAGGTATTTTAATGTCTGGAGAAAGACAAAAAAAATGGCTATTGAACTATTTACCCCTGAAATCAAAACAAAATATGAACCTTTTGGGGTGGGGAGGTGGGTAGCAAAAAGCTGTAGTTTTCTATCACAGGTTATGTGTACATACTGTTATCAGGATTATACTATCACATACAGGCATGCCACCTTTAAGGGAAAAAAAGCCTACTGCTAAAATTGCAAAATTGTTAGTGAAAATTTCAAAAAGTAAAGTCTAAAATAAATGGCAAGTCAATTAAAACCTGAAAAATAGAAGCTGTGAATGTGATCTGTATTCTACACTGAAGGGACAAGTGCTTGGAAGAAACTTGAAAAGGGTAAATCAGTCTTGCATTTCACACGAAAAGTATGCTTCCACATGTTTCATACCACGTGCTCTTTTGTGTAAAGTGCGGTTCAAAGGGAGTAACGCACACAAAGCAGTTACACCCTGTCCTGGTTTGGTTAGGACGGGATTAATTTTCACCAGAAGCTGGGAGGTGGCACTGCCCAGACAGACAAAGGAACCAGCCGGTTGACGTCATGCACATGACACAAGGGCCTGGGTGGAGTTGTGGGCTGGGGAGCTGGGAGCTAACGAGGTCTATGCTGTTTTATAGTACTTTTTATATTGTTTCATTACTGTTATCACTGTTGTTTACTTCCCCTTTTGCACTGTTGTATTAAATATTTCTTATGTCAGCCCACAGTGGTTTGGTTTTTTTCTCCCTCTTCTTCCTGTTCAGGGGGTGTAGGTGTGAGCAAACAGCCACATGGTGCCCAGATCCTGGCTGGGTCTAAACCACTACACACCCCCTCTAGTTTTATTTGTATTGGGAAGTTTCTTTTACTGCACACAAGAATTTCAATGCTACATTCTTCTTTGTACAACTACAGCAGCATGTCAGTTGCAGATATCCAGAAGAAATGAGGTCAAACTTCAACGCCTGCATCTCTGAGGCTACCCCAGAAGTCCACTGTAGCAATTACAACCTCCCAGTTGTAAAAGGAGTCCACAACAGAAGCACCCTATTCAAAATGTACAGTAAATGGAGTCAAGAAGGTCATCTCTCTCCCTCCATCTGGTGACACAGCTGAGAGACTGCAGGCAGTAGTGATGCTGTCAATACAGAGTGTCAACACTTCCACCCAAAGGCAGGTGCAAAGGTACTTAAAGTGCCTCAACTGCCAGTCTGGTCTGAACAGACAGAAACGCTTCTCTGTTTTGACTACAGCTTTGAAATAACCATAAAGACAATAATTTTCTATCATCCTTTCCTCTACAATGAGCACCTCTTCTGAGTCTGGGCCTCAACTCCCTCTTCTCTACCTTCTCAGCAGCAGAGATAGTACTTCACTTCAATCCCTCCATAATCTCATCACTGACATTGTATCTGGATTAGCAATACCATTAGTACCTGATTTTGTCCACATTGGTTTTAGATTTAGATTATGAAGTCTATGGGACTTCATCGGAGGAAGATTGAGTTATTGTTGAAAGGAAGTAGCCTAACAACTTTCCTTTGTTGTAAAATCAGCCTAATTTGGCTCATATAAAAAAGCCAAGAACCAATTTAGAATAGGAGGCATACAGTGATACTTAAACCATATAAACATTATTAATACTTAAGACTTGAAAGTCCTGCCATCTATTTGTAATGTCATGCACTTCAGTAAGACTGACAATGAGTGAACTGAAGAGTCTTTAAAGGAAACAGGTTGTTTTTTCCTTACCCTGATTTTTGACTTAGTACTTTTTCACTGTTGAGAAGCACTGCTTCCTCCTTCATTTCTTGTTCTGTTGCTACATTATTTCCAAGTCTCTGCTGAGGATTTTCTTCCCATGCGCCATCACCACCAACCACCTTCAACATACATGTTCCTGCGATGTCCAAACTCTTGTTCTTGTTAGTCAGGCTGTCCGAAGGAGAACAATCCTCATGTTCAAAAGACTTCTGAAGGGGAGTTACTACCTGAAATTCTGTCCAAGTGTCAAGAATCAATTCCTGTGCTACAACAGCTGCCATTTCTTTGCCAGAATGTTCAGACCCTGATTTTGGCATCTCTGACTTGGCAGAAATTTCTTCAGGTGATATGTCATTGACTTCATTTTGGCCCAAGATAATCCAGCCCTCATCTTGGTCATAGCCTTCCTGTGATCTTTCATCGTGCAGTTTTTGAGGCTCAACAGAAGAACTTTTCTCTTCCAGGTGAACAGAGTCCCATTCAATTCCACAAACAGTATGATCTTCCCTTTCTTTTGTAATGGAGATTGGCTGAACGGTGTCAGAAGAGTCCAGTGAAAAGCCTTCCTGAGATTCTCTTTGTTCAGCTGCATTAGTTTCTTGAGATGCAAAATCACTTTTGTTTCTTTCAAGGGTATCCTTAGTTGAACATATATTTTCTTGCTTGGAAACAAGGATGTAAGCCATGTCCAGTGAAGTTGGATGTAGGTCCACCTGCATCCTTACATCTTCCTTATCCTCTGTACTTCTTATTTCAGGGCTTTCAGAGGGGTTTCTCAGATTATTCTCCCTACGAAGGAGGGAAGCAGTGCCAGCTTCTAAAAAAACAGGCAAAGAGAAATTACTTTTAGTTTTTGAGTTACTACTTCAGTCACCATGATTTCTTTACATCAGTAGAGTGAAATAAAGCTCTTCTCAGTTTGCTTTGCTCTGTTAATGTGTACTTGAATTTTACAACATCATCACCATCATTATTGCTAAAGATTACACATTAACACTGCAGTCATTCCTAAGGAACAAGTGATTCAGTGTCCTATATGCTAGGTCTTGTACAAACAACAGAAATAATGATCCTACTTCAATGTTTAAAAGATTTATCTCTGTCTAGAAGAGTGATGGTAGAGGTCTCCCCAAAGTACAGAGCTTTGTACATTAGGGAGAGACAAAAAATTCAAAATTCACTCAAATTCTCATAATTCATCAGTAATACTCCACATATTTCCTTCTTTCTTTGTCCTATGAATGTGCTCTGGAAAGCAGGTTTTCTTACCATCAGGTGATCTTTTATCTCCACCTGCCGGTGAGTCAAGATCAGTTGTTTCTGCTTCAGATTTTCCTACTGCAATCTCAGAAGCTCCTAGAGTTACTTCAGGCTTGGAGAGTGAAGGTACTGATACGTGATTTTTCTGAAGGCACTCTGTGGATGTTTCAGACACCTGATCCTGAATGTTGCTGTCGTCAGTCATTAGGATGCCTTCTGCACCTTTCAAAGGAGCTGGCAGTGGTAAATTTTTTTCCAAAGAAACACTGTCACAAAATGGCTGCTCAAGTAAGAGCTTATTCTTTGAACACTTGCTGCTGCCAGAAGGTTCAGCATCAAAAGGTACATAGGACAGTGGAGTACACACCAGTGGTGATTGGTCACTGGCCACTTCCTTCAACACAAAACCATAATTTTCAATTATACCTTCAGAATCTTTTGCCGTGTCATTAGCCAGTTGACTATTAGAATCAGAATCAAGGCCTTCATTACCACCAGGAAGAAAGGATTTTGGGAAGAGTATCCGTTTATCCCTTGATTCCCCTTCTGCTGCTTCGCTGCCTACTACTGCCAGCATGTTCATTCCACCACACGTGCCTGCTGGGACATTAGTCACTGTTGTGTTCCTGACGTTATATTCTATGCCTGTTTTGGATTCATCCACACTTTCTTCTGACACGTCTAGCTCATCAGTAGTTATTGCTGTGTGGTCAGTATTCCATATTCCAACTTCAGCCAAGGCACTAATTTCTCTTAAGCTTTGTTCTGCCCTATTAGTTGAAAAGAAATCCATGGGAACCAACTGCATTTGAGAGGTCGCTATTTGGACTACATCAGTTGGTGTTCCCTGATAGCTTCCAGAAGTAAAACTTTCATGGAACTTTTCTTTCAGATCTAAGGACATCACTCCTAAAACTTCATCACTAATTTCATCTGACTCAGCTGGGTCAGTAACGAGCTTGTTTTCTAGACCATATTCTTCCAAAACTGCAAAATCAGGACTCCCTTGACTATTAGAAGACATTAGCTGATAGGATTCAACAATCTTTCCCTCTTCACAGTCCTGAGGGCTACCACTTTTGGACTGTGTCTCTACCTTCTGCATTGCTAACTGACACTTTGAACCAAATTCTGTCTCTTTACTTATATTGGACCATGTGTGAATTGGCTGACTATCTTTTACAGGTTCCACCCCGACCTGAGAAGATGGGATAGAGGCATGCTTAGCTTCATACTCCTGGCACACATCAGGACTGCTTGATGCCTCTGAACTATTGTCTTGGTTACAGTGACTTAATATATCAGGATTTTCACCATCTGGTTTCAGAGTGACAATCTGCTCAGCATTAGTCCACAGGTCAGGTTCCATTGAAAGCAGATGATTATTTTCTTCTGCATTATCCTGTAAAATATCTGGGATAAATGTGTTTTGGGGAACTAATACACTCTGCCCTGGACTTGAGTTCACTGTCATTTCAAAAGATAAGCCTTCTACAGTGAAAGCATCTGGCAGGGAGTTGTGCAATTCTAATCTTTCACAAGTATCCGGCTGTTGTTCTTGAGGAATGAGACTTATATTTCTCTTACTGTCTTTTGGTAGACCAAGTACAGTGATTTCTTGAACTGATGTATTTGGCATAACTTGCTCCTCATCTGAAAAAGAGTTCTGTGGAGTCACGTGATCTTCCTCATCTGTAGAAAAGTGCTCTTTCAAGCCCCTTTCCTCTTTATCCAGTATAAAAGGCTCAAACTGTTGGAATTGTACAGTGCCTTGATTTATTTGACCATGGGGAATATTCGTAGGATGTACTAGCCTTTCATTTTCTTTCTCATCACAGTTCAGGGGGGCAGGCTGATTTCCATCACTACTTGCATCAGCAAAACGTGATTCTGTTAGTTCTTCATCTTGTGAAGGTGTTCCCCAGGAGCCCTCTTTACTATTTGTTAACTGGTTTGTTGTGGAGTGACTTGAAACAGAATACTGATCTTCCAATCGCTTTTCTTCACAACGTTGTGAATCCCACCATTCTGAATGATCATCTGGAAAACAAAATGTTCCTGCTGTGGATTTTGGATCAGCTCTTACATCAGCTTCCAATGACATACTCCATGTATCTAAGGCTTTTGAAGAATACTTTTCTTTATCACCAACAGCAAAAGTTGGTGTAGTGTCTTCTTCCATTTGATGCAAATATGAGTCTTCTCCGCTACCTGTTTTTTCACTGAGAATACTCAACTGAGTTTTTTTCTGAAGTGTTTCCCAGTAACATAAATATTCAGAAGTCTCATTACACTCCACTGTAGTCAAGTCCTCCTGCAATACTTTCCTAGCTTTAGTTGTTTCAGGATTTTCACTGAGGATGCCTACCTGGACCTCCTCTCCTACCTTGGTTTTCACATGTAAATTGTCTTGATTTGCTTCAGGAATTGTTGCATTGGATTGAGCATAATCCTCTCCAAATTCAGATGCTTTGTGCTGTTTGTTTTTATATGTGGAATCTTCATGAATCACTTCAGAACATGCCTCTGAATTCTCTGAATTCTCATTTATGTCAGGACTTGATAAAGAAGATACAGTATCATCATCTACATGGGCATTCCAAAACCCTAAGCTTTTAGGAACTTTGTTCGATTCAGAGCTTTTTTCAAATTCTTCTTCACATTCATTCCCAAATTCATTTATTTTACAAACATTTTCAGGATTTTTATTATTTTTAATATCCCATGTATCCCCACTTCTTTTGTGATGACTGGTAACTGGAAGGTCTCCCCACATATTCACAGATGTATCACTTAAATCTGGACTTGTTCCACTTGAGTGTGCATAATCATTTATTGAATCACTCCACACATTATCTTCTTCCAAATAACTTTTGATCTGTATATCCCTTGAAAGGCTACTTGCGGTGTTTGCCATTTCAAGGGCTTCACTTGCCTCAGGACTTGTTCCAGGAGACTGTAAATCTTGACATGGCTGTGAATCCCAAGCAGTTTGAGGAAAACTGTCATTAAACATTACATATGGCTCTTGGCAAAGATTATTAGCAGATTCTAAATTTTCAGAGTCTTCACTTTTCCCAGAACCTATTTCATGTGAAAACAGATTTTCCACCACAGACACATCTGTAATGTCAGGAACATTGACATATCCTGATGAAGAACTCTTCTTAAACTCATCTGTGAAAGGCTTTTCATGAGTCCTGTTCAGTTCTGAGATATTTTTAAAAGATACTAACTCAGAATTACATTTGCCTGCATGGTTAGGAACCACTTCAAGTAAGCCTTCCTTCACTTCGTCCAGTGCTTCTTGTGGATCATTCACCAAAGGAATGGATGTTGCTAGGCAACAACTACTCTTACCAGAATCATTCCAGATGCCAGAGCTTCTGGGCATTTTGGAAGAATTATTTTCATTATCACTACCCTTATCAAAACTTTCAGAGATACTTTCCATCTCAGGACTTGTTGCATCTTCTATCACTGTAGTCTCATTTTCAGCTTTCTCAGAAAGCAGCTGTGATGTTTCACTATAATTGTAATTCTGTGGTCTGGTATCATCAAAAGATTCATAATTCCTGCCTTCCTCAGAAGCACTTGAAGAAGATGCCACATTATTTTGTGACAAGTCTTTCCTCTCTTCCTGACTAACTGCATTAGTTTGATGGGGAAATGACTCATTCTCTGTGACTAATGCTTCCAAGCTAACACTATTGCTCATTTTTTCTGGGGAGCTTGCAACTTCGTTTGTTGACCTGTTTTCCTCTGAATCTGCATTACATGAAGATTCACTGTCCTGCTGCACTGGTTTATTACAATTGTCACGAATGATCTGCTGTCCACTTAGCTCATCTGTTGTGCTGTATTCCTCTTTTCCTTCCTGAGAGAGGATGATGGTATTGTCCCAGCCTTCCTCACAACCCTGTTTCAGCTGCTGCACTGAATCCTGACTATCCAGCTTGTCATCAACTGCAGCACTGTTTTGTGCTGACTTCTTACTAAGTATCTCACTCTGTAAGTCACATATTTTCAGATCCAAACCATTGCCAGTGTCTGAGGTTGGTGTAGATGTGTCTATGTCTTCTACAGGAATACTGCTCACTGTTTCTACATTTTCAGCTGCATTGTGTGTAGTATTTAATTCATTCTGTGGTGGTGATAAGTCATTCACTGTTTGGTTGTATACCAGTGTTATTCTTCTGTTTTCAGATATAGGAAAATTATTTTCACTGGTATGTGTCTCAGTTGAAAAGCACTGATTAGCTGTTTGTTCTGAATTAAGAAAAGGTTTAGAAGAGGCAGAAAGAGCAACAATTTCAGAATTTCTTTCCTGTAACTGGGTGACGTTATTTAAGGGAGTGTTCCAAATGTCTGTGTTTCTGGCACCTGAAAAAGGCATGTTGCTAGCAGATAATGGTTCTTTATTTGCTTTCTCAACTACTTTTGGCTCAGCCAAATCTGGGGTTATCAATTTGTCAATATTTCTTTCTTCATTGACATCTTTGTCTTCGTTTTCTTTTTCGTCTTCTATGTATGTAGGCGATATGTATGAATCAGATGTTGAATAATTGGTGTCTGGTGGAGAAACCACCAAATCTTCCCCTGTGTTTGATGAACTAAGATCTGTGTGTTTATAAAAGAAGGTATCCTCCCATGGCACCACTATTTCTGTAACTTCTTTCCTGATGTTTTTATCATACATATTCCAGGTCTCTATATTTTCAAATTGTTTTGGCCTATGTTTAGGGTCACCAAATAAAGTTTCTTGCTCCATTTCCAGCTTAGAATTATTTTGCATATTGTTGAAAACAGAATTTGTAGTTTCAGATCTTCCATATTCTCCTACCGAATAATATCCTTCTTTATCCCAGGATTCTGGAGATACCTGAGCAGGTGGATTTTCAGCCTCATTGTTTTCTGTTATTTCTGAAGAATTTGATAAACTCACTTTTGATATAGCCCATTCCTGATGAGTGTTCACTGATTTTTTTTCTCTATCCGGTTTGGTTATGTTCCATACATTTTCTGAGGATCTACCAGTATCTCCTGCATCAAACTTAGTCCAAACTTCATAGGAGTCTCCAGCTAACTGATTATCTTTCCCTTCACCACTACACCATGCATCTGACACCATAGATGTTGGCTGAGTGACCTTCCACGGGTCAGTAAAGCTCTCTGGTTCCTGCTTTGTCTCCTCTAAAGAAGTGGTTTGCAAAAGCAAATCTTCATTATTTTTCTTTTCATTCTCACGGCTCCAATTATCTTGTTTAAACTGATTATTCCACATACTTGCTCTCATATATTCCATTTGGTTTGGTTGTTTTTGGAGAAATACAGAATCTGAGCCTCGTCTATCAGTATGTTCTTGTAGCAAGGGACTTTCTTTACAATCTTTCCATAAGACAGGGCTCTGAAATACAGATTCCTGCTCACTTGAACCCCATGTATCAGCATTTCTGGACTCTAGGTCAAAGCCACCCCACCAGCTCCCATATCTAACACGAGATTGAGAATAATTTGCACCATCTATTTCATTAATTTTTTTAATGACATCTTGTGGGAAAAACAAAGGCTGCCCATTATCTAATGGTGAAGTTTCTACGAGACTGTTCATAGGAGTTGGTGGAATTCTTGAGTCAACAGATTTCAACATTTCTGGTGAAGAAGGATCACCTTCAACTAAATCAATCAAACTTGAAATTTTCTCACATGTTTCCCCCGGATTCTCATCAAAGTCAGCTAAATTGCCTTCCTCATTTGTTGTCATAAGTAAGTCAGTTGAATAATCTGCTGTATCATTTTCTAGCAGGTTTGTCTCATTAAGTTTTTTTTGCACAGTGAGTTGTTGTCCTTCTGATGAATCACTATTAAGGAAATAGTCATCTGCTGGGGAACAATCAACAGAATGAAAAGATGACTCGGATGGAGCTGTAGCCACAGGTGCTAGATCAAAATTGAAAAGATCAAAGTTATCGCTATTGTCTCTAGACTGAGGTTTTTGTTCTTCAGCTATTGTTCCTTCAGGAATAGGGCTATAGGAATCAAAGCCAGGCAGAAGACTGTGATGGGAAGCAGCACCTTCTGCAATAGGGCTATCATCACTAAGGAAAACAGAACTCTCCTTGGAAGACCGGCTGCTTCTAATGGTAGCCAGTCCACTGTCTGGACTCACAAGGTCTGCATTAACATCAACGTGGGCTTGGATAGATCCATTTAGATCTTGAGGGTTTTCTATAAAATTGGCAGAACTGGGCTGTGGTTCAACATCAGAACCATATAACTCCATAATACCAGAAGATCCTTGTGAAAGTGGAGCGCTTCCAGCAACAGCTTCAGTAGAAGAAGTTCTACTGTTTGATACCATTTCTGGTTGTCTTCTATTTATGACTTCCTTAACTAGAAGAAAAATTTGATCAACGGTCACCAAAGAATTCTCTTGATGATAAATGAGAATTTGGTCACATCCACATTCTACAGGATCCAGCTCCAAACAAGGATTCTGACATTCTTCTAATTCACAGCAGATCTGTAGAAAAACAGGATGTTTCAAAAGCCATTGCAATCACAGGCATAAGGGCACACATTGACTACTTCACTGTGTAACACAGCCATACCTAGCTATCCCTATTAATCTATTTCTTGGCCACTTTGCTGTAACAGCCTTAGTATGATCTTATGAATAGATGAAGTATTAAAATAGAAGATCAATATAAAATATGTATTATGTAATTTGTCAGAATACTTGTCTGAAATTATACCATCTGACTTTCAAGTTCACTTTTGATTAGTAAAAGAAAATCCAAATAAATGTTTAGTTGTTGCCTTAAGAAATCTGAGCAAAATATGTTATGATACATGAGAAAAGTATTTCTAGAACAGACTAATTAGATTAATAAAATAAATACATTTATATTGACATTAAAAGTAACAGAGTCATTTAGCCACCTGTCCCTAAAACAACAAGTTTTTAAGGCTGAGTAAAAGGATCAAAGAGTTGCCACTGAGATGATTTCTTCCTTTTGGGGAAAATTATAATTAAAAAAAAGAGACAGCATCTGGCTTTGGGTAATTGAACATCCTAGTAATAATTTGGCTTCATTTCAGAACTTAAATTCTTTAGCGATAACAAACACATAGATGAGTTCTGGTCATTACCATTTACAATGTGTTTGCTCATCGCTCATGGCCAAAGACTCATTTGTTTAGACCTCAGTACAAAAAGAAACCAAAACTAGTAAAAAAATAAAATTATTCTGTTTTAGCTAAATTGAAAAATCTTGTCTCTTTCTGTATTTCTTAACCATATACTTTTTTTATTAGGGTGTTTTGAAATAATCATAAATACCACAGTCTTTCATTTTGCATCATATAAATAATGCAGCCGTTTCAAATAGCGACTCAGTTGCCACCCAACTGTTGCTACTTTTTTAACCCCACTTAATTATTCAATACTTTGGTATCTACTACATTAATAAACACCTTTTTTTTTTTTTTTAGGAAAGACATTTTTTGATTCTTTTCTCAGGTACTTACTTGATTGCCTAGTTCCAAGTTTTCCGTGTACACTGCTATTTGTCGTTTTTCTCGCTTCTCATCTGACAAACAGCTGGTCAAAATGACAAGTACATCAAGCCCATATTTATCGATGAATGCTTTCAGATGACCAATGAGACTCCTGTGTAACACGCAGTCCTGAAATATGGCAAGAAATTAAAAGAAATGTCAGTGTCTTTTCTTTACTCTTTCTATCCAAATCTGTGGTGAAAATAGCCAGAAACATTAATAAGTGTCAGTGTCTGTAACTGGCAATAGAAATCCATTCCATTTGTCAAAACATCTATGTGCTTAAAAAAAATCAAGAACCAGTCAAAGAACCAGTGAAGAACACTCAAATACTAACTGTAGGTTTTGCCTTCTTCAAACTACTGCTGAAACAGAATTCTTATTTGTTCCTACCTCTTCCTTTTGCAAGGTTGCTTGAAAGTATTGTGCTACTGCTGTTTCTTGAATAAAACCCCTTGTTGTTAGAAAAGTAAACATATTTTATGCAATTTGTCATGTAAATATTTAATCTAAGATAAGAGAAGCTAAAATAATACTATTGAGCTGCAAAACCAGACACTCAAAAAGAAATTGAATGTGCTAACAATTTTGCAGCCCTTTCTGTGTATCCGTTATGATGTTACATGACTGTATACAATTTTACCACGGATTATTGCTTTAGATTCCTCTAATCCTGTTCTTTGAATTCCATGCAAGTCTTCAAAAAAATAACTCCGCAAAATAAGGACAGAGTAAGGCAAACTAGTTTTAAAATGTCTTTTGATAATTGAGTCATGCATTTATTTTCACCCACACCCCACACCAAATACACAGGAGGTAAACACTGCATTTGTCATTCCTGTTCTCATTTATACTTTGACTAGATCAAAGCTGAATTATCTAGATTTTGCAATATAAACCACACATCCCTATTCCTCACACACTATAAGTGTCTCTTTTCAGTCTTCTATTCTAATAACTGCCAGTGAACAGTCTTAGGAATTTTATTTTCTCCTTTATGTGTCCACAATTTGTATTCAAGATAATTTTTGTTGTCTTCATGCTAATAGTTCTTCTGATGCTGCCAAGCTACACTGGCCCTGAATAAACAGCAGTTCATCATGAACACAACACAACTGTGTATGCAGATTGGCATGTTACTCCCCTGCATCTGTCTCCCACCTAATAAATTACTGTTTTGGTTACATATATACAAATACTATTTATAAATCTACTCAAATGTGTCCACAAAATGTGTGTACGTTAAACTTAAAACAAAACAAAACAAAATCTGTTTGTCAGATGCTTTAGAAGTAGATTCTTTTCCTCTTCGATGCTCACATAGCATCTAAAAATGTCGTTTATGTGAAAATAATACAGATTAATGCACAAAGAAAATTCAGCTGTCAATTTACTGGTGAACTTCAAGATATGAAATCTGAATAGGGAATTATGGTGAGGAATTATGGCAAATAAGATTTGAACATCCAAACCAGCAGCATTTTTCTGAAGATTCAGGTATTTGGTACATTAGAAAAAGTACCAAAATTTGCTTAAGCATGGAAACGTTACTTCAGTTAATCCATTTCTAACTGCAGTTGTGTTGTGGTGTAACTCCAGCCTGCAACTAAGCACCACTCAACTAAATAAAAAAGAAAAAAAAACAAACAAAACCAAAAAGTACAACTCATAGGTTGAGATAAGAGCTGTTTAATAATTAAAATAAAACAAAACAAAACTAAATTAAGTTAAATTAAAATTAAAAAAAATGACAAGAAAGCTAACAAAAAGAAAGAGAAATAAAATGCAAGAAAAGATACGTGGTGCACAATGCAAATGCACCCCACCTGCTGACCAGTGCCTAGCCAGTCCCTGAACAACAATCAGCCCCATCTCCAGCCAACTTTCCCCAGCCGATATACTGCACATGGCATCCTACGGTTTGGAATATCACTTAGACTACTTTGAGTCAGCTGACCTGGCCATGCCCCCTCACAGCTTCTTGTGCACCTCCTTGCTAGCAGAGCATGAGAAACTGAAAAATCCTTAACTTGGGATAAATGCTACCTAGCAACAACTAAACCATCAGTGGGTATCAACTCCTCATCCTAAATCCACAACACAGCACTGTACCAGCTACTAGGAAGAAAATTAACTCTATCCCAGCAGAAACCAGGACAAGTTTGAATAACTATCTGAAAATCTCTGATAACTCACAGACAATCAAAGAAGACTGGGAGGCCACCAGGAAGAACATGGACCAGTCTCGGATCTGGTCTGCAAGCTGTTTTATGGTTGTACATAAGGTAAATAAATGATCACTCTAAAAAACATCCAGCCTTCAAGTCTCATGATGCTTTATCTTCTATATTTCATGTATCAACTGAAGATGTAAGGAATTAGAAAATTTCTGTAAAATCATGTGACTGAACTGGAAGCCTCATGGAAGTCACATTAACTGAGATAATATGTGCCATTTTCTCAGCTTGCATTTGGCAATCACTGAGTGGTAGGTTAGGGAAGACAAAATTTGTTTTCTGTAGTATTTGGAGGGAAGAACCTCTTAATTTGCCTACACAGCAAGGGAAAACTGTCACCATGAGCTGAAGAGTAAATATGTGCATGCAGGGTGATTGGAAGTATATTTCTAGAGTTTAAGGCCAAAGACTTCTAGGACATCATAGGACAAGACTATGAATACCATAGACAAGATACAAAGTTGACATGCTAGCAGCTATTTTTTGGGAATGGTTACCACACCAAGGGTGTGGCACCAAATGCCATACCATGCAAGGTCAAGTCTACCAACCAAAGCAGGCCCTAAACATGTAAGTGGCCACGGCAAAGCCCCTGAAGGTACTAAAAGCTGAATTTGCCTTGTGTCCTATTTTTTTCTAACTTACATAATACGAACAAGTGCAACCCTGAGGAACTGACACAGCAACAGGTGATCCATTAGCTTGCTGGTCTAAGTGTAGAAGTTGGCCAGTATGTATACCTAGTGGAGCAATTGGACTGGAGAGCTTCATATTGTGTCACGTTAATATAAACAATAATGGATCTGTACTACCTACATAATTACCTGATCCAGCTGCTTGAGGTGTTCCCCATTTCTTCCATCATCTGAAACTTACTATTACTCAGTGTATTATTTCCTTGAGATTCTCAGCATGTTGATGACTGAGAGAAGCACAAAGATTAACTATGAGCAGGCCATCTGTCCCTTTCCATAGGTACAAGCAGCAGAAGGAGATCAGCTATGTACTACGTTTTTTTCTCTGTGCTTCACATCCACTTTGGGCTTTGGGTTGTGTTGTGCTGTACATATTCCTTAGGTGCAGAGTAAACCTGGCCAGCTACCTGTACCAGAGAAGCCTGCAGGCAGCATCCACTTGGCCCTATCAAATACATCACCTGTATGTCCATTCCTTTACCTAAAAGTTCAGCAGCAAGTTCTCATATGAAGTTCCTTTCTACTTGTCTGTAGAAATGAGGAATGGAGCTGTTTCCTAAGAAAAATCCTATAAAATCTAAAATGACCAAAAGGTAGAAATCTCTTCTATGAACAGGGTGTCGTCAGCACTCCATGCATGGATTGGAGGCTTATTCAATACACACCCTTCAGGGTTCCTGCCACCTAAAAGAATGTACTATTATCTATGGTGTTTTCTCCTTATAAATTTAGGTCTAGTAAACAGTGTTTTTTAAGATACCGCACAGCGTTTGCATGCTTTTCTTACTGGGATCACAATGAACCAGCACTACCTGGTGTAAAGCACTATCAAATGATGTAAGACTGCTCAGTGTAGCACGGGAAGGGGTTTAGGTGTGTCAGCACCATACAGCATGTTAAGGGAAAAGATATTTAAAGAAAACATAAATGGTGTTTGAGGATTTAAAAGTGCAAGAAGGAAGAGATGTTTTACAGTGACATTCAATCGATAATAATACTGAGGAAGTCATTAAGGCATGTCAGAACACAGTCCAAGTCAAGCAAAATGATGCTGATCACATCCTATTTATTACTTTAACCCACAGCCTGTCAGTAAGAAAACTTTTTGACAAAAAAAAAGTCACTATTCAGCGATGGGATTAAACCCAAGAACCTACTTATTCTGTGGCATAAGGAATATGATGCAAGCTTCTCACATTACTATTACTAAGCAACAATTAATGTTAAAAAAATACCTGATAATGTAATCTACTCAATTTTCCCCTAAACAGTAACTTTCATAATCAGCAATAAATGTTTCCTGTAAGTTGTTACTTCACTAAATGCATTCAGAAATGAAACACAAAGCAAGGACACCTTGGTAAAAGAGTAGGTCAAAGCGTGAATTTGCTGGAAAATGCTGTTGACTAAGCTATTGATAAAAGCAAGATCTGAGTACATGTCTTACAGCATCATGACTTTACATTTTTGTTGTTGTTGTTGATTATTAGTGAACACATGAAATTAATTATTAATGCAAAAGTAATTTTATCAATGTTAGTAAGTATTATTAAGTAATCATTTTTTTTTCTAAAACTTAGTTTAATTCCATCCCACCCTCCAAACATCTATAGAGTTTACTCTTTTAAACTAGTACCATCAAGACAATTCAGATAGTCCCTTCAGAAACATTCAGACATTCAAACAAACAAGACAGTTGCAAACAAGAAACTCTTATAAATTACCAGACTATATACTGAAAGATGTGGTATAGACATATAGACTCTTCCACAAATTTGCTAACCTAAGTGAACAACCAGAATGTTGCATATACTATACATACTAGCAGAAAATAAAACATTTCCTTCAGAAAAAAAAAAAAAAAAGCTAATCATTTCAACAGGTAAGCTGCTAAATTCCAAATTAATTACAAACACTGTAAAATAAACTGTTGGTTAATTGGTATAGTAGAAAATACACTCAAACACAGCTAAACTTTGACAAAAGTCAGACAGCTATTTATTCTTATACTACTTTATTAGCATGTGCTGAGTTGAATATTAATTAATATTTGCATCGTGTACAGTAGGTAAACAACATATGTAAACATTATGAGTTGTCATAGTGTCCTCTAAGTAACCTATAAAGAAAAAAATGTACTGTAAATACCCTTGAAATGAAATATAGTTGAAATAAAGAGAATCATGTAGTAAATACA